TCGTCCAGTCTGTGAAGAAGGCATTCAAGTAATTGCATTGTAGTATGACTCATTTCCTGGCGTGTACAATTTATATTAGGTCAGCGTTCACAGTTCGACTTCTGATATTCAGATTGAGTTCTAGGTCAAACTGGTTTGTTCGACTTTCAAGAAATTCGAGTTCTAGTGAATTCGAGAACCGAGGTACCACTGTATATAATTTTTTTTTCTTCTAACAGACATTGGTCCAAAGATCTGAGATCATCAAGAGAAAAATTACTAATGAAACCCATACTTATTTATTCAAAGAACCATTTAATGTCAGTTTTTCTTCACTGTTTATCATTTTTCCTACTGCTAACCCTACATTCCGACAACAGTTCATATTCACACAGGCTGTTAGCCAATTATACCTCCCCAATGAGTTCCTGAGCTGTTGTTTTCCTGTGTCTGAGGCTGCTTCCCATCACACATTGTTTGTGATAAACAAAAAAGCATAATATATTTTTATTTGCACATTTTATGTTTCATTGTTTTATTGAGAGGTCATTTTAATTTAAAATTTTGTTCATTGGTTGTGCTGTTGGGCAATCCTGGAACTGTACAGATTTTGTAAAATAACTCACTACATGAGCAGTCTTCTTTCTAGATACTCTTTTACTCTTACTCAAATACTGAGACTGACATTGACCACGGTCGACTTCATTGAATAGCAGCATAAGAGCGCTAATTCAAATGTGAATGCATCTTGCAGTCCTACTTGAGTTGTATTTATACATTTATATTATTATAAGTAACGGTACTTGGGCAGCACGGTGGCACAGTGGTTAGTACTGCTGCCTCACAGTGAGAAGGTTCGGTCCCTGGTCCTTTCTGTGTGGAGTTCGCACGCTCTCCATGTTTGCATGGGTTTTCGCAGGGGACTCCGGTTTTCTCCCACAGTACAAAGGTGTGCAGGGTAGGCTGACTAGCATTTCTGAAATTGGCCCTGTTGGTGTGTGTGCGCCCTGTGGTGAGTTGGCGCCCGCCCAGGGTTGGTTCCCGCCTGTGCTCATTGTTCCCGGGATAGGCTCCGCAACCCCAGTGGGGAATAAGAAGTTACAATAATGGATGGATGGATGGATGGAAAGATGGATGGTACTTTTACCTGGGTAGAGATTTTGGCTACTCTACCTACATCTGGCTGTGGCACTAAGGGGAGCAGGCTGATGAATCCTATAATACCCTTAGATTTCAATTGCCACCCACATTCAATAAAGCTTCCTCAGAATAATAAGTGAAATAATATTATTTTCTGCTATTCTATCCTGAACAAGATAACCCAAGTGAAAGACAATTCCTGCTTTTATACTGGTCTAGGACAGAGGTGTGACCAGAACATCATGTGTGGGTGGGCATTTGGCTTGTCTGGGGGGGCAAAAATATCCATCCATCCATCCCCATTTTTGTAGGTGGGTCAAATAATAACAACAACTTCGTTTTATATAACATATAAAAGCAAAAATTATGGCATAACTCATAACCGATTGTTCAATAAAAATTAACAGAGGCAATGGAACTTTTATTATTTTTCTGATTGTGTAATCAAATAACTTAAGGAAAACTATGACGATGCTATTTTTTCTTTTTTTATCAGACATCTAATTTTTTTAGGTTTTATTCACCTGACATGTTTCGACGTTCGCTGTCGTCTTCCTCAGAGTGTTACCGGATGTTATCGGTAGCTCATAGGTTATCAGCTGATGATGTTCTTCCTCAGAGTGTTACCGGATGTTATCGGTAGCTCATAGGTTATCAGCTGATGATGTTCGTGAACATCAGCTGATAACCTATGAGCTACCGATAACATCCGGTAACACTCTGAGGAAGACGACAGCGAACGTCGAAACATGTCAGGTGAATAAAACCTAAAAAATTAGATGTCTGATAAAAAAAGAAAAAATAGCATCGTCATAATTACTTTAAGACATAATGAATATAATTGAAAGAAAAAAAAAACTTAAGGAAAAGTCCCTCCTCCCCACCTTCGTGATTGTGACCACGCATAGCCAGTTCATTGACTGCAAGGAACTGAACGGCCTCCCCAATGCTTTTCACATAATATCTATTCTTTTCTATTTGGGTTGTACCCAGTAGTTAAACTATGCTTTCACCCATCTCTGCCCGGCGCCGATACTCTTGCCATGCAGCCATGGCTCTGACGTGCGGGATACTAGACGCGTGTTTGTGGAAGCCACCGTCTTTTTCTAGAGCTTTTTTCCAATTAGCATAGCCATGTTTGGTGAATATGTCCTCGCGGTCTGAATTGGAAACACTAAATTTGCGGCAGGCAAAGCAAAAGCTGACATCACGGACAACAGAATATTCAAGCCATGGTCGAGACTGATACCAGCTTGCACTAAAACGTCTGAGTGTCTTTCCGAATGCGCGCTTGGGATAATTCATTAAAATGGGCTGGGATGGGCTATCCATATTTAAATCAGGAAGACCGGACTGTACATTTTGTTGAAGGCAGAGGTTTGGAGTAGCTGACACGGGCGCAGAGCTGGAGGATTGTGTAGGAGTTTCAGTTCCCGACATGGGTGCGCTGTGCTCTGTGTTGGTAGCAGCGGTGCTGGGCTCAACTGTGGAGCCAGCAGCTTGCGGAGGGACAGAGGTACGGACTTTTTAATAAGCCACCTATGCATAGCTTTTGCTATTACAAAACAGAAGATAGAAGAATGGAGCGTATACGCTGTTTTAATTAAAGATTGCAGTCAACAGTTTCAAAACGTGCTGCAAAATGCGTAGCGAAGTGAACTGTGAGCAGCACGTGCATGTCTAGTGGAGGAGGCACTGACGGATACGCCCCTAATTCAAACGGGCCAATTGGAAAGCAACTCAGTTTAGAAAATCAAATGTTTTCATTGGACAGACAGAGTATTTCGCAGAGTGGCCATGGCTTGTCTCTGGGGGGGCAGTGCCCACCCCAGCCCCCCCGTGGTCATGCCTCCGGTCTAGGATAAAAGGAATGGATTACAAAGAGTGAGCACTTACGGAGATGGAGCAGATATGACAGCTTTCCAAGGAATACCTCAACCCGTAGAGTGCCACCCTGCAGGTCGACCACAGTGATACCTGAGGTCGGAATCTGCAGGAGCAGAAGTATTTTTAACAATTTACTCAGTTTCAGTTATCTGGATATCATTCACACTGGTTAATAAAGAAATGTGTTACAGAGCTAATATAAATAAGCTGGCTATGAAGAATATTCAGAGAAAATTGAAGGAGTGCCAACTTACCTTACATTTTGTATACACCGTGATATTGACAGTCACATCTGTCTGAAACCAATCAAATCTGAAATCAAGGTCAAAAAGTATTGATTAGTGCATCAATCCACTCAACCAAACTCCAGATAATAGGGTATTCATGCATGGAAAAACAAACCTAAAAAAGTGAATAACAGTGGAAGTAAGACTTGCTAAACTGGTAAGGGGTACTGTTTGCAATGTTACGTTCAAAGGGGTTTTGATCTCGTTTGGGAAACAAAATAAGTACTAGACTTTATGCTGTCATTTGGTCCGATCATCTATTCTAAACCATACTCGTCCCACACTTAACTTGTGCAATTGGTTTTTACCTGAATGCTGTGAGTCCTTGTTGTGATACATAGGTCTGAAGGTACACATTATCGCACAATTAGTTAATTTATGACAATTTGCAGAATCTTTCCCCACCACTTAGTTGATTACTTGTATTCCTATGTGTATGTTTGAAAATGTCATTTATATTTTTTGTTGTTGATTCTTCCTAGGAGGTTAGAAGACAGATTGGGAGAGCACAGCGGATCATGAGGTTGCAGGAAAGGGATGTGTGTCACTCCTGATATCTTTGCAATATGACTAAGGTCCAAGTCTTTGAAGCCCTGGTGCTCCCTGTCTTGCTGTATAACTGCAATATGGATGCTATCCAGTGACCTGAGATAAAGACTGAACTCTGGACTTTGGTACTGTGTCTCCTTGGAGAATCCTTGGGTACCACTGATTTGATTTTGTGCTGAACAAGCGGTTACTCAGGGAGACCCAAATGAGGGACATTACCTGCATTGTGAGGGAGCGTCAGTTACGGCACTACGGCCATGTGGCGGGATTCCCTGAGGGTGATCCTGCTAGCAGGATTCTCATTTCAGAGGACCCGAGCAATTGGACCAGGCTAAGGGGACGCTCACATAATATCTGGTTGTGGCAGTTGGATGGTCCCTTCTGGACGGTGGGACAGGGCCACGTGTTGACCTGGAGGGTCACCAACTGGGCTCCCGAGGTGTTATGCCATGTGGTGGGCACGGCAACATGCTGTACCAGTGAATGCTCCCCAACCTGACCTATGTGCTTAAATATTTTTTTTTTATGCATTTCTCTTTTGCACTATGACCAAAACTTTGTGATATAACGGTAAGAACTGTAACAGATACATGAATGGTATTTACCAGAGGCATCCAAACTTTGGTGCACAAAGGAATTGCAGGGAGGTGCAGGTGAGGGAAAATAACAGAACTGCTTGGGGGGATTGAGCTGGGGGCATATCTATTTCTAAATTGCAAACTTCAGAAATATAAAACGTAATGTGAACAAATTATATGCCTACATACATTATGTCACGTTCAGCTCCGAACGATCCTCGTGTGTGCCACGCCCCCTCATTACCTCATGTCGACTCCTGATTGTCATCACCTGTTGCCTATTCCTTTTGCCTTGTCTCATGTATTTAGTCCGAGTCTCAGTCAGTCTGCCCCAGATTCGTCATTGTATTGTCATGTGTGGTTCCTTGTCGGCTAGTCCTGTCATTTGAATAAATCCTGTCTGTCCGTATTTACGGCGCCGATCGCCTGCTTTCCGGCTCGCTTGCCCCGCGATCGTGACACATTACATGACACTAACAAATTAAAATAATCAAAATTTGTAAAATAGGCATCAGTCCTATGGGGATCTGTCAAAATAGTTTGAAAATCACCAGTATATCTCGAGGGGCCTCTGGTATATATAGGTCTGGAGGGGCCATTGGCATGGTGGTGCAGTGATTAGCACTGTAGCCTCACACCTCTAGGACCTGGGTTCAAGTGTCTGCCAGGGTTCCGTGTGTGGAGTTTGCAAGTTCTTCCCATGCCATCGTGGGGTTTCCTCTGGGTACTCCGCTTTCCCCCCACAATCCTAAAACATGCTGAGGCTGACTGGAGTTACCAAATTGCCTAAAGGTGCACATGTGTGAATGACTGGTGTTCATTTGGTGCTGGTTTTTTCATGTGCACAATGTACATGTACAACTCATTTATATTTAACTTTTATCCGGAAAGACTTAAACAGTAGAAGGAAGAGATACAATTTATGTGCGCATCCTGGTATTTGAATCCCTGAGCTCTACTCTGTTAGTGCGATGCTCTATACAGTATGTTGAGCAAGAGACGCAAAATTAAACCATGCTTTAGTTTAATGTGCTCAAGAGATAATCAAGCACACGATCGCACATTCAGAAAATACAAGACAACTCGCATCCCATATTGGTTCAAAACAGGACCCACCCTTATTTTTCAATACGGGATGACTGCACAATATAAGGAACTAGTGCCAAAAACATTAACAAAAATGGTTCTTACTGTATGTACAAGGGATTAACTACAATCAACAAGTATTTACAAATCAAAGCATTGTTAACTCTTGGCTCTTTCACTTAACAATTACTTGCCCACAAAACAAGGAATATTGGCTAACAAGTGACTATCTTGCCTGATGGCTTAACTGATGCTATGAATGGTTTAATGTGGTTAATCACTGTTTCTCAGACACACAGAGACACACATGAACATAAGCACACCAAGTACACACTCACAGTTGAGAGCGAAGCTTGAGTGCATGGTGAAGACATTTATCTGGGGACACTGGAGCACTTCGTGTGATAAATTTCTAGGGCTGCAACTAAGGACTATTTTTATAATCATCGACTATTAAAACGAATAGTCGACTAATCGGATTATAAATTGCATAAATTATAAAATGGCTCCTATTTAGCTACCAGCTTTTACATTTAGCATGAGGTTATTGTTCGACTTGAATGCCGCAAAAAACACATGTAAAATGGAAAAGAGCTGTCATGCGATTGATTGTGCAAACAGTTTTAACACAAAAAGGGAGCTATCTTTTTAGAGACTGCCAAAAACTAAATAAGTAAGTATAGGATGTGGGTTGGTCACACATAGCCGATACCAGATCCGTCAAATAGGTCTGGATCGGCGCCGATACCAATCCAAATTTCTGATACAATCTGTTATAATCAGGGCTGCATATAACTGGTATGCAAGTACGCATTCACCTTTAAAAGCGATACGTGCGCCAATCCATTGCTGTGACAGTGCAAATGCGTACGTATTTTACAGGGCTGTGGAGTCGGAGTCGAGGAGTCGGAGTCGGAAGATTTAGAAACTGAAGAGTCGGAGTATTTATCTACCGACTCCACAGCCCTGGTATTTTATGTGCATTTGTACTGATATGACAAGAACTTATCATGCATTTTAACCTGTATATGCTAACTCGTACTTCATTTGAGGTATAGAGGTTAAAATGCATGGTAATTTCTTGTCATATCAGCTATTTATATAGCCTATGTTTACAAATAAAAACTCATTTTAAAGCAGTTTGAAAAATCCCAAGATCCCGACCCAAAATACGGGAAATTTAGAGCAACTTCCCATTGCCATTCCTCTCTTAACAGCAAGAAAACGGACTTCAAAACTGCTGTTATTTATTTATTTTTTACGGAGCATAAGCTCTTGCAGCACTTGCGACATCAGAGCCATTGTCCTGAATCTTGAGCTTCGGAGTTTTGGCTTCTTTATCTATTTAAGCAATGGCCGGGTTTTCTCCACTGTTTTCTGATATTTTTTTTAGCTACTATTAGCGAATGACACACTTCATGACACACCACTGACTTCCAAACATAAATACGTTCTATTCCGATCTTTTTTGAAAATCGGAAATATACTACTACTAGCCTATTATTATGCTCTATTATTATTATTACTGTTATTATTATTATTATTGGATACGCCAGGCAACAAGAAGCCCATGCCATTCACCCTTTTGCAGATCTCGTCTTTGTTTTGGGACATTAAAAGCCTTTGAGACTGATGTGGCACAAAATGCTGGGGAATTATTTTTCTCCTTACTATGAAGTTTGGCATCTTAAACACGTGTTGGGAAATAGCTTGTAGCCTGTAGGCTACTCCGTGTAATACTTCCTGAGGTGGTACATGGTGTGAAAAGTTTGTGAACCACTGCTTTTGTTGAGTTTTGACACCCCGCAACACGTTTTTAAATCATAATTAAATCTGGTCCACCAGTAATCATTTTCCATAAAGACTAAAAAATTATCAATCAGCATCGCTGGCCCTGCTTCATGATCTGTTTCAATAACCATATCAAGGCTATATCTAAGTCCTCTTTTTATAACCTTAGGAACATCTCTAAAATCAGAGACCTAATGTCCAAGAATGACCTTAAACTTCATGCCTTCAACTCCACTCACTTGGATTATTATTACTCCCAAAAAACTTCCCAAAAAAATCCAAGAAGGCTCCAGCTCATCTAGATTACTTTGTTACTTAGAACCAAGAAGACCGAACATTAATCCAGTCCTTCAGTCCTTACACTGTCGTGTTGCGCGGGTCGGCCCCAAACAGACCCGTCAGGAGATCCAAAATACCCGTGGATAATGACCCAAAAACCCGACCCGAGGAAAAAAAAAAAAAAACAACACCAGTGAGCCTGTATTGCCATGGAACCTACCAATATAGTGTCATTTGTGACACTGTAACCCATAGATGGCATAGATTTGTGCTAGATTCGCATTGAACAGGGTTCCTCCAGTTCTGGCAGAATAAATTTCCATGACTTTTCCAAAATCTTTGCAGTACCACAAGAAAATTTTCAAAAACCCACAAGTTTGCTTTGATTTGATGATCATGCAGTTTCAGATAGTAATCGTCCTGCCCCGATCGTCCGCTCCTTCCGTGTGCCACGCCCCCTCGTTAACCTAGTGTGGAATCCCCGTGTGATCAGCTGTTTCTGGTTGTTGTCATTAGTTCTCTGTATTTAGTCCGCGTTTCATTGTGTGTTTTCTACGACGCTGAAGTTGGCTCCTTATTCGGATTTTCCGGTCCACCTTAAATGCTTCGCAGCCCAATGCAATGACGCTTTTGCGCCTGTAGGGGGCAAATTTTAATACCTTAAACCTCTCTGGGCCAGGCAAATATCAACTTCTCAGTACACATCAGGTATCCTACTATACAGAAAACGTCACATTGTCCTGGCCCAGATTGATTTAATGCTTTAAAAATCAGATGGAAGTAATGCGTATTATAGTGCACAATGGAGATTTCATTTGACTATTCAATTGTTCTATTAAATTGAATTTTACATTCGCATTTCATGCTGTTGTTGTTGTTGATGACATGGTAGTGCATTTAAGGTCAATTAAACTGCGCATGTATGCAAAACACACTAGTTGTCAAAACTGTAACATCTGATGCAACATCAGATCTGAGAACTCTATCAGATTTGAATGAACTTAGTAGAACTTAGGTCTTCTTTTAACTCAATTTTGTCTAAAATGAAGTAGAGCAGAGCATACTTAACCGTGATATTTCACCAAACTAGTAGCTTATCCTACAAATTGAAAACTCCAAAATTGAAAAATATATGCCGACTGCATTTATACGCCGATCCCGTTTACAACACGTTTTGATCGATAATGAAATGCGTTTTGTAACTTTTTGACCCGCACGCACCCACGCACGATATTTAAAAAATGTCTGCCGGAAAACCACCCGTGGGTTATGGGTCGACCTGCGCATCACTATTACACTGGCTTCTAGATGCCTGGTCAACTAATAAGGCCAAAAGTGAAAAGTAAGCAAGGCCAAATGGAATTCAGCTGTTTTGCCACTCAAAACTGGAACCAATTCCCTGATGAGGCACCAAATGCAGCCACCAGCAAAACCAGGTTACAAACATTTTTCTTCCATAGTGCCATTCATTAGCACTATTAATCAATGTTGATGCTTTTTCTTTTACTTTTATTTTGGTGTCTTCTATTTGCAATTTTTAATTACTGTTACTTTGTCTTCTACTTATGTTTTAATTTTCCATTTATTGACTGATTTTATGTAAAGCACTCTGAGTGACCTCTGTGCCTTGCCTTTTTCCCCAATTTAAAAATGTACTGTCAAGAATTCCCAGAGTTTAACAACCCTAGGGACATATCTATTAGCACCATTTGAAACACGATATTGCATTAAAGACACCATTTTCAAAATGGTAATTAAATCCTGATGTAAACTTCAGTTAATGTTGTGTTGGGTCTTGAATAGATTTTTTATATTATTACCTCGGAAATGTCCACTGTGGCCCAACAAAATTTACAGATAACATTTTGTGAAGGATGACTCTGTATGTGTGATTTGTACCTCACGTCTGCACATGCGCAGCACTACAGAATGGGATATTAAGCCAGATATTCTGATTTTAGACTGTTTGTGTTCTCTGTCTGTTTAAAAGTTCTGCAGAACACCTGCACTTGTGTCCGAATGCGTGTTTATGGGTCTAGTTAGGTACGCCAGTCACAGCGGGATCTGTATGCGCCCTTTCAGTTCAGAGTGAACCAAAGCTACAGGTATACCAACCAGAGTGAACACTTAAAATGATAAGCAAAGAAAACTGTTTTTTTTTGCAGTCAGTGGAATCACTAACACCAGTTCTTGCTAAACAATAAACTGACCTCTGTAGTTAGTGGTAAATGTGTAGACAATATGATTTTCCATAAAATGGCAGGATGATCAGATCACAGAAGACAGGTGGTATGGATCAGGTATTGACACACATTATTACTGGCCATTGAAGTTATACGTGAAGTTTGGAAATATCAGTGGGAGAACATAAGAGATCACAGTCTTTACAGATCCATGCTACATTCACAAAGGAAAAAAATTACTTCCTACTAGTTGACTGTGTTGATTGATAGAGACACATAATATAATTTGGCCATAGAGTCATGCGTGATGTATTTGAAAAACAATTCAATGTGAGCTATGGCATGGCAGATAAGGAAGTGTGGTATGGATCGGGTAGTTAATACTGGCCACTTAACAAGTGAAGTTTGGAAATATTAGTGAGGAGACATAAAAAATCACAATCTCTACGATTTGTATGAAAAGCAGATTGTAGACATCTTCAAGATCGATCATAATATAAAACCATCAGATCACCCACCCCTAGTTACAGAACTATATTTTTTAAAAATAGAGGAATTAGTTTGGTTATACTGTTCAGTAAACTGCAAAATAGTTTTAAAAACATGAAAAAGAATCTTGGATCATGATCATCCCTAAAAAAAAAAATCATGCTCTTTTTTCCATATCACACACCCTTAGCTATAACCCAATTGAATTTCCTATCATGGTAGAATGGTTCACCTGGGACAGTGGTCCTTGGTTGGAGGGGGGAGCAGGGAAGAAGGCAGGTTTGATTCGAGAAGTGTGCTGGGGGAAGAGGGGTATAACCCTAGCAAGACAAAAAACAGCAAACAGCTTTGAGACACTGCTCCATCTAAATTATAACTAGAAGACATAATCCTTACATGAAAAACCCCTGTTTATAAGCACATATAGAGAGTAAACTATATTACATGTTATTAAAATTGTTGAAGATGCAGGTGTATGCAGGTTGATGTTGGTGATATACCCAACATGAACCAGTTACAGCCTATGGAATCAGAAATAGTGTAGTGGTTTGACATGCAAGGATGCATGCAGACTCAGGAGGGGAGGGTGTAACCCCCCTAAAATTGCCACCCAAAAGTTTAGTTCAACATCAGGAGGACTTATTCTCTGTTTCTCCAATAGGGGGGGATATGTTTAGGAGTGTGGCAGTTTTAGTGGTGCTCTAAAAAATAAAAAAAAATAGAAAGGTGAAAGAAGCGCGCGGGGAAAAAAAGTGGAAGAAGACGGACTGGATGGTGGAGCTGCCAAGCAAGTAGCTGGTTTAATTTTAGTTTTCGTTAAGTCGAGAGTAATTTGGAAAGAGAAAAAAAAAGAAATTAGTTATCATTAGTTTTTTGGGATCTGTCCAAGGATTTTAGGTTCCTTTATGAGAGAAATTTTCGGTTGGTTTTTTTGATTGCTGAAATCCTGTTCAACATTGGAGGGACAGTTGCTCGGACAGGAGAACGATCAACGGAGAAGCACGGTCACAAGCACCCTGCCAGAATCTGCACTGGAGCCGAGCGCCCTCCGTTGGATTTCAGATAAGAAGAGAGACAGAACAGAGGGAGGACAACTTTGTGGACTGACTGGACTGAATGACTGACGGGACACAAAAAAAAAAAAAAAATTCTTTGATAAGCTCATGAGCACGGTTATCTTTTGAGGGGTGGAAGTATTTGTTTTATATTATTTGTTATAACTATTTGGTTTCCCCTGGTGCAGTTTTGTTTTTGAGGTCCGTAATAATATGTATATGTTTTATTCCTTCTTTTGGTAGTTATGGAAATCTAAGCTAGCATGGGAAGGGATTTGGGAATGATTGCATAGAGAACGGACTAGGCTGAGCCTTAGAGAGAAGTTAGCTTATTGTCATATTATTAATTAAGCGAATGGTTGTAGTTCAAAATAAATAAGTTAAGTAAATAAGTTTTTTTTTGTGGTTTTGTTTTACCAATCATCCTCCTCCCTGAACCTAAAAAGAAGGTTTACACACGTAAGAAACCAAACACAGTAACAAAAATGTGGTAATTCAGGTAATTAAATAATATACTGAAATCCATGGGAAAGTATTAGTACACAGCCAAGACAGTGATGGAGATACAAATTTTACACAAGATGATTGGAACACATCACCAGCTTTCCATTATATTTCACTGGTTTTCCTTTTTCATAATGCACAGAAGCAGTAATTAAGGTCAATGATGGGCATACATCATTTCAATGTATCACTGCATGCCCCAAAACATAAGCAAATTAAATCAGTTTTATACAATGGCTTTAGAGCTGGGCGATATGGCCAAAAACGTTATGATAAAAATTTTCTTATCAGCTGATATCGATAATTGTTACAATAATTGTTGAATCATTATTTCTTTCCAGTTTAAAGGCTGATTTTTACTCATGAGTTAAAATTGAAATAAACAGATGGTTAAGCTGCATTTATAAACAATTCTTTATAATCAAAATGTGACAAACACTTGCCAAACAGTAGTGGTGGCCGAAATTACGCTTCCAGTCCAGTATACTCTATTTTCTGACCCCACTAGATGAAGCCCTCTGTTCAAAAAAAGGGGGTTAAAGCATGCCGAAACCATAAGCGCAATGGCTCAAAAAAAAAAACTGCAAACTGTTCATAAAGTTGGCCATCACTACCAAACAGCATTACGTATTTCACAAGTCTGAGATAGAAGATGAACAGGTTATTTTAGTTATTTTATTTTAGTAATCACTGAAAATAATGCTGTCATTGACGTTTCTTAATTATCTGTCGATTATTACTGTCAGGATTTCTCATGGTAATAGACAACTTTGCTGTGGACTTCACTTTTGGATCTTGCTGAATTACCCTGTTAACAGGTTGCTTTGGACTTATTATTATTTATTTGTTCAAAAACCCTTGTTTTTACAGCTGTGTTTGCGCATGAACTCAACTGCCGGTCCAGACAAGCAATCACAGAGAAAGTAACGTCACTTCATCGTGTTGCAAAATATGTTATTGACAACACGTTGGGCCAAACTTTTATCGAGCACTTGTCACATCCACATCGAGGAAAATTTATATGGTGATAATTATCATTACCATTTTATCGCCCAGCCCTAAATGATTTTATATTATTAATTTTTATAAGATGTGATAACTTCATTTTATATGACTTCTTACTAATGTATATATGGGGAAAATTGAAGCTAGCTGTTAATACTGTTCAGTTTATATAAATAAATGATCTCTTACGATTTACAGAAGGGTTAATCTTCTGTGTATTTGAAGAACCTGCAGTGAAAGAGGCAGGTTTCAGTTCCAGAAGGATCCTCTTGGATTCATATAGATTCTTAAGAAAAGTACACACAAACGTGCACCGGATCACTACCATGTATAAGTGTGCTGGGCTTGGCTGCCATCCTCCCGACCAGACACTCCTTTAGCATAGACTCGTAGTTCACCCATCTGTGGACCTGAAAGCCATGAAAAAAATCACCATGGTTTAGCATCTATCACGATTCAACATGCATCATTGCCTACATGCACTAGCTATGGCTAATCACACACTGAAGGAGAGCACAAAGTATTAGCATTATGCATGTCTCATAGGGCTGGGCGATCATACCGGTATTATATCACGCATGCGCAGTAATCACTAGGGCTTCAGATGACAGGCGCAACATTTGGCCATGCACCAGCTTTTTTGTGCTATACGGACATTTATTTATGCCCACAATTTAAGCAGTTTAGTAGTATGGCTAAAATATTAATGAGGCTTTGTATCAGAGCATGTGAGCGGAGTGGAGCGGTGAGAATTTCCGCTCCTCGCTCACGAGACTGTTGGCTCCGCCCGCTTTTCTGCTCTAATTCGCACTAAGACGCTCTGCTCAACACCGCTCTTCGCTCCACTAAAATTTCCTCCCGCTCCAGTCAAATCGCTCCACGCTCGCTCCAATTTAAAAGAGGGACAAATAATCTGCATGCCTAACAAATGTCACCTTAAATCGAAGCCTTATATCATGAAGAAATATATATTTTTATGCAACATATAGGCAACAACGGACAGGTTTGGCAATGGCATTCCACACAAAAATAGGCTTAAAAATAAAGTAATCAGTGGGCTTAGCCTGAAGAATATACAGGCTAAGCATCCACGTTTTAAATTTCTCAATTTTTTTCTGTTGATGCTGCTGCTGTGTCCCTATAAAATAAAATTTCACTGAAAAATTTAAAAAATCCTATTAGACCTACTTTGAATGACAAAACGAATTTGATTACCAATATTTACTTATATTTAGGCTTTTATACTTTAATTTACTTTATAGACTTGATATGCTACAACCATATAAAACTTGCTCACGTTTTGCTTGCTTCCGCCTGTTCGCGTACACTGTAAAGAAAATCTACTACAAAATAACAGTCAAAAGTCTGGCAGGTCCTGAAGACCAGTAGTGTTGATGTATATTTGCATAGCATGACAGGGTACTGCCTTTGTTTAAACTTTTAACCATTATGGTGTTGAATAAGGCAACAGTATAAATTCCCCAGCCACGTTGCATAATGATTGAAAATGAAAAGCTTGAACAGCAGTGGATTGTCGTAGGATCTTGTTGGGTGGCAGCCGTAAAGACCTTCTCAATGCTTGTTTTGACGCAGACTATGGAGTTTGTTACTCTCTGCAGCTCCGGGACCTGCTCATTCTCCTAAAGACCAATAGTGCTGATGTATGCGTGATATAATACTAGGGGTGAGAGAAAAGAAAGAAAAAAAAAAATCGATGCATCTTTTTTCTTTCTCTAACGATTCTAAATCGATTCTCAAAGATTCAGAATTGATTCTGTGTTCTATCAAATTGCGAGTGCGCGCCGGAAACATAAACATTACAACGCTCGCCTCTTACATATGCTGCTCTTCATTTGAACAATGGACAAATTACATCCTGCACCATCAAATTTAAAATCGACTGTGTGGCAACATTTTGGATTTTGTGAAGACAAAGAGAAAGGGGTCGTTGATAAAAGGCATACTGTGTGCAAAGTCTGTCGCGCCAAATTTAAGTATTTCGGGAACACTACTAATATGTAGTGTTGTAGTCAAGACCGCCTAAACCGAGACCAAGACATTGCCGAGACCGGAAGGTAT